AATAAAAGTAAAGAAAACAAAGTTATTTTATACTTCTATTTCTATTTCTCCGGTCAAATACATTTTCTTATATATATACACTTGCCTATCTTCTTTTTATATAGGGAGAGACTAACAAGACTCAATTATAGAAAAAATATTCTTAAATAAATAACATTTGTTTATAATTTAAGGATAAAGTTGTGTAATTGTAAAAATAAGGGACAATTATATAATAAATAAATCAATGGAGGACTCATTTGCGTATTCTCCAATTATAATCTAATCAAGCAAATAGGTAAAAGCCATAGGCATCTCTCCACCGCTCCCTTCTTCCCCACACTCTCTCTCTGGAATTATTTTTTCTGTTTTTCCCTAGAAAAAAAGAAAAATTCTAAGAGAAAATTGAAATCTAAGGTTACAATTTTTTTATATAAATTTGGGAGATTTAATCTCTGGGTCCCTAACTGGAAAGTAATTAGTGGTTAAACCTAAAAAGATTGATAAAAAATGAGCTTGGATTCGGTGGCTACAAACACACATGGAAACCTTGATGAGGAAATTAGTCAGCTCATGCAGTGCAAGCCCTTATCAGAACAAGAGGTAACCCTTTTTCTCCATAAAAAAGTTTCCATTTTTATGTTTTTTGAGATGTTTTTCCTTTGATTTTTTTTTGTGGGTTTTGGAGCTGTTTCTTGGATAAATGGTGCTGATCTCGTTGGTTTTTTGGGGGTTGAAATTGGGGGTTTTTCATAAAAATACATTTCGGTGTTTTTTTGGGAGATTTTTGGGCTATTTTAAGTGTTTGAGGTCAGTTCCGGAGAAATGGCGTGGATCTGGCCGGGTTTGTGAGGGTTAAAGTTGGGAATCTGCTGTTATTTTGGGTTCATGTGCGGTGTGATCTATGTTTTGAAGGGATCGTGGAGGGTTTAAGATAGATTTGGGGAGGTGATAGGAACAGATCTGTTAATTGGTTTTGGTTTTTGATTTTTTCCTATGATTTATTCAAGTTAAGGTTTCAAATTGGGGAAAAAAGTTTGGATTTTTGTTTGATGAGTTTTATTGATTGGAAGACTTCTTCATAGTTTGGAAGGTTAAGAGAACAGAAGTATGTTGCTCTTTGCTTATTGGATTATACTGCTTAAGCTGCCATAATTGAAATTTGGTTCTTTGTGGGGTATTCTAAATCGAAGTGGATACTTCGAACTTGTGCTTTCTAGATGTATTAATGAAGTTGGATTCTGGTGGGTGACATGGATCCATTATTTTGGTTTGAAGTGGATGCTAAGATTCTAGGAGTAAGTGTGCAATGTTAATGCTTGTTTTAGGAGGATTGCTTTCAAAACTGGGAACACCTAGATTATTCTTTGGGGATATTGTTTTCAATGGAAATGTTTTTTATGATTCAGGTAAGGGCATTATGCGAGAAAGCTAAGGAGATTTTGATGGATGAAAGCAATGTTCAGGTACTCTACTCTCTAATTTTTTTTCCTGTTACCAGAGCATAAGTTCTAGGATTTTTTATATGCCATTTTGATGTTTCAGTTCAGCATCCATCTTTTGCTATCTATTCCGCAATACAAGCTATGAGCTTTTATATGCCATTTTGATGTTTCAGTTCAGTATCCATCTTTTGCTATCTATTCCGCAATGCAAGCTATGAGCTTTTTAGGACTTTGGAATCCACTGAGTTGTAATTGACTTTCCTTTCTTTGGTTGTACATCTTGCAGCCTGTTAAAAGCCCTGTTACAATCTGTGGTGATATCCATGGTCAATTTCATGATCTAGCTGAGCTTTTTCGCATTGGCGGGAAGGTAAGTTTCTGATTGAGCAATTTTATGTTCTCATATTTGCAGACATGGCGATTCAAATTAATGTCAATTGTTATCTCCTTTCTGAGTTCTCTTCTTGTGGCCGTAATGGTCGCAATATTGCATTTGTTTTTAGTTAAGGAGATACACATGGAGTCACTTTACTGCACTTTCTTTCCTCCTTTTCTTTAGCTTCTATGGAGACCATTGCAATAGCAAGGGATCAACCCTTCCCTTTCTCTATCATCTGTTAGTTTTTCTAACACTTACTGGAAATGCAAGGATTTCTAGTTGAGGTTCCTTTGACTGCTATTTATCATCATACATGGTGTATATCTGACAATGCCAGTGATGCCACAACATTCCGAGTACATTACACATTTTACTATTTTTAATTTCTATTTCATTATCATGCCATCATCTAAGGTTTTAAGCTTCCACCATTTGTCTTGTGCTCACCTAGTTTGGTATTGTTCACTTGTGCATTTTTGTTTGCTGTAGTGTCCAGATACAAATTACTTGTTCATGGGAGATTATGTTGACCGTGGCTATTATTCAGTAGAAACCGTAACTGTAAGTACTTCCATCTTTCTATTTTTCCCCGTGCATTTCAACATCAATGTCTCCCTTCTCCTTTGATGTATCTATGCCATTATAATAGGTTGTATTTTTAGAGTTGTCTATGGAACTGTATGTCTGCCAAAGTCTTTCTGGTTTGAATTGGAAAAGCATATAAATTAAGCTGTGTTGAATGGAGCACTTCTAACATTCTCTTACCTATTCACAAATTTTGATAAACTTTGGCTTTAGTTTGGTTGAGGCTCTTAATTTTTTAGCTGCGATACTGATTGATTTTTTTTCATCAGCTCCTGGTTGCCTTGAAGGTGCGTTATCCTCAACGGATTACTATTCTAAGGGGAAATCATGAAAGTCGTCAGGTATGCTTCAGAATGTATTTTGCCAACTGATGCTATAATTTGTTTTATCCTAGGTTGAAGGTTCATTAATTGATTATATTTGCAACTTAATGCGGTATTGTTCTTGGCAGGGTGTAAACTTTTAAGACATCTAAACATTTTATGATTTCAATTCTTTCATACCCTAGCTTTTTCTCAGCATCAAATCAATTGGGCTGATTATGGATGCTTGTTCCCATTTCAGATTACTCAAGTTTATGGTTTCTATGATGAATGCCTGCGGAAGTGAGTTCTTCTGAATCCTTAGTCTAATGGAATTACATCCTAACTTTTAAGTTAGTTTGGAATCCTGCAGTCTTTGGTTTGTAGTTCCCTCTTAATGTTTCTTGTGTACAGTATGCATAAACATAAATTTTACTTTCTTACAATTGTGACCTGGATATGATTTTATAAATGACACGGATAAGGAAACGGGGTTGCTTATAGAAGTGAAAAGCTATAACAAAAAAAAGGAGAAAGCAAGAGGTAAAAAAGCATTACAATGAAGTGTTTCTCAAAGCATGGGAAATCAAATTTAGGCTGAACAAGAGATGCTTGGATAGTGCAAACTGAAACTTTGGACATACTGTGTTTTTAATTTGGACGACTGTTGCATTGATTTGTAACATGTTTTATACGCATGAATATAAGTTGTTACAGAGAATTGGAATTCTCTGTGCAATTTCAACACTACACTTTATATAAAAAAAGAATACTACTTTTTGATGAACCTGACAAAGTGCACTAGCCTGTAAATGAAAACTCTACCTTCAACCCCCACAGTCCTTGAAATTGAAAGGAAGTGGACTTGATGATAGTTATAGACTTTTTGGCTAGTTGGAAAACAGGCTTCCAAGAACCTTCTCCTCTCACATCTTCTAACTTTGTAAATCATGTTATTCAAATGGTTTTATACAATTTTTTTGGCACAAGTATGTACAGAAAAGATAAGTATCAATGGTGTTTTTTTTTTTTTGCAGGTATGGCAATGCTAATGTTTGGAAGATCTTTACAGATCTGTTTGATTATTTTCCACTGACAGCATTGGTGAGTGCTGGTAAAAAAATATCAAATAACAAATATTTTTGCTACCAAGATAATTGAAGGAAAAAAAAATACCAAATTTGCATTTTCCTTTTTGGATTTCGATAGATTTTACTTTTTAGTTAGGGCATTTAATGTGGATATGGTGTCATGTATGTATTTTGTTCTCTTTTGAAGGTTGAGTCAGAAATATTTTGCCTCCATGGTGGATTATCACCCTCCATTGAAACCCTTGATAACATTCGTAATTTTGATCGTGTTCAAGAAGTTCCCCATGAGGGTCCCATGTGTGATCTTTTGTGGTCTGACCCTGATGATCGCTGTGGTTGGGGCATCTCACCTAGGGGTGCTGGATATACCTTTGGTCAAGTAATATACTCACTCCACTCCCTTCTTGTCACCCGTGCTCTTAATTTTTAGCAGAACAGAGTTTTCTTCTTGGGATGCTTATGGATATTGTTTCTGTAGGACATATCTGAGCAATTTAACCATACAAACAACTTAAAGCTGATTGCTAGAGCTCACCAGCTGGTTATGGAAGGATACAACTGGGGCCATGTAACTACTTCCCTTTGATGCTTTTCTTTTGGTGAATTTCTTGCTCTGGTTTGCAAATTTCATCTGATTGATTGTGCTTTTTTTCTCGTGACAGGAACAAAAGGTGGTTACTATCTTTAGTGCACCCAACTATTGCTACCGCTGTGGTAACATGGCTTCTATTTTGGAAGTTGATGACTGCAAGGGTCACACATTCATTCAGGTTGGTGTCTGATGCTAGAGCACTCTATGGGTAATGTCACATAAGTTAGGCTCAAAATAATATCTTCAAAATATGTTTGCAGTTTGAGCCTGCTCCAAGGAGGGGTGAGCCAGATGTGACCCGGAGAACACCAGATTATTTCCTATGATTGAAGCTGGTCTTGAGATGCTGAATCCTTCCAGCCAGTGCTTCCTGTCTGGTTCACTTATTGAGGGCATTTTTCAAATCTAGAGTATAAATTCACAATGATGGTGGGTGGGGGTGGGTGGCAGAAAGCATTTATAACGGGCAGGTGGAGCTTCCTTGATTCAATTGGTTTGCTGATTATGCTAGAGTTTCCATAAGAGGAAGCAGTGGAGCTGGTGACCAAATAGCCGCAAATATACCATTTCCAGCAAACAATGCGGCATCTTTTATTCCTTTGCCTTGATTCTGTTTTTGTTATCTTATTCCTTTTTGTAGAAGGATGGTTGTTTCAGGGTTGGGTATGTGCAGAGAGACAATGAGTTGACTTATAATGGGTGCTTTTATATTTTTTCTAACCAAGTGTTCCGTAGGTGCCTTAACATATCTAGATAATTTTTTATTGCACATTGCATAGGAAAGCTGAACCTGAATTGAATTAAGCCTCCTCTTTAAGTTTCCCATGACAGTTCATTCCAAGCTTTGGTTGTGATTTTTCCGCGAAGCATAGATTTGTGTGGACTAAGCGGTTTTTCCCTATCATCTTCTCTATGATAGCTGCCTTGACCATGGATTGTCAAAATATTGATTTTGTCACCAGTGCGAAGTTCCGTGAAGTGTTGTCTCCCTCTAGAAATATTGAAGCAAAACAATTAGTTCACTCTGTCCCTGCCAGCTGGCTCCCGCCCTTGAAAGGTTTTGTGGAGAGCTAAAATGGCTGTTCCTTGATATTTTGGATTGTAATTGATGGATAAGAGACTGGTGGTTTGTGTGAGTGGACGGTTTATGCCATTTATGGTGCGGATGGATGATTGCCAGTATTTGTTTGACAACGAAAGGCGGGCGGTTTGAAAGTGTTGAGGCAGCACCTCAAGGCAAATGGTATCTATAGATATTTGATTCAACATTTAACTTGGAATCTTTCGCAATGGGTATGGTCATTTTCAATGCCCAGTGAGCTTGGAATCTCTTGCAAAATCGTCAACCTTAAAGCGTTGTCTGTTTTTAGATAGTTCCAACAAGGGAAGTCGACTGTAATGAGGGCCAAAAACCTAAAGATACAATGATATAGCATGTAATAAATGTTCTTCTTCTTTCTTCTTTAGAACCCAATTTTATTTGCGTACTAATGTTAATGAATTGAAATGCTTTCAGATCATATAATTATGATTATTTAATATATTTTTCCTTTCATCTGTGCGCTTAGGCTTAGTTTAAGGGAGAGAGCTCGAACCCAAAACAGGATATGGATGCCATAGCAGCATGTCTTCTCTGTTGTAAGCATACAGAGAACAGCATATCGCCTGATAAATGCCTCAAAGAAGCAAGACACTTGTAGTGCAAGCAATTTTTGAGCAAAGGTCATAGTTTTGAAAACTGAGAAATGTGTGTGCAATTTACTTTCCATGAAAATTTTAGTTCTATCAGAGAATTGAGAACCTGATACAAGCAATAATGAACCAATCTCACAAACATTCAAACTTCGACGATTTCCTCTATGATACACAAGCATAATCTTGTTTCACTATTCACTCCACTTCTCCACTGTCTGCTGTCATAACTCCCCCACCTTAGGGCTGTTGACAAAATCTTGATTTACTGAAGGATCAAGCTAGACATTGATTGAGCTTTTGTGTATGCCAGGGGCAATGTGAGAAGTTTCTTCGTTCTTCCAACATAAGCTCGTTTTGTGAAGTTATCATAATCATTATCCTCAATTGCATCCAAGATTTTTTGGTATACTAGTAGGGATGACCATACCTGCAACAAATCACAGACCAATGTGTCAGCATATGAAAAATCTCAAGGTACAATATAGGTTAGAGATGGAAGTGTTGCAAATTTATCATGCAAGTAATGGAAAGTTTTCAGTTCATACTGGCCACCGGCTAGCCTTTTCAAGCTTTGAAGCCCCTTCTTCTGCAAGGTTGAAATAGAATCTTGCCCTTGTTATCTGCTCCTTCATGAACTCTCTCCATCCATAAGTGACTTTTCTTGCGAAAACATCTTGGTCGCATAGCCCGAACTGTGCAAGCTCATCTTGTGGTAGATAAACTCTCCCTCTCAAAGCACTGAAAGAAAAAGGACTGAACTAAGTTAAAAGATTCAAACGAGAAAACTGAATGGAAGTTGTGTGGAAAAAAGAACTTACTCCTCTCCCACATCTCTAAGAATGTTTGTAAGCTGGTTTCCAATACCCAAGTACAGTGCCGCATTATAAATACTTTGAGCAGAAGCTTCAGATTCTGCTGCAATTCCCATAACTGGAACGCTCATGAGGCCAACTGTGCCCGCAACGTAATAGCAATAAAGATAGAGCTCTTGAAAATTATCATAACGGAATTTTCTCGTATCCATTCTCATACCTTCAATCATGTCCCTAAAAGGCTGTGAGATGATTAAAAAACTCTATCAGATTGAGAACATACACTATGCTAGGAATTAATCCATCTAGTAAATATTCCAAGCACCTTAATGTCCAAAGGGAACTTGGAAATTGTATCAGTAAGTGCAGCATCGAGCATGTCATAGGGGCGTCCATCAAAGATGTCTAGTAGCCTCTCTTCCCACCTATCAAGAACAGAAGTGCTCATTAGCACTGCATTAGGTCCATCGACCAGCTCATCTGTCCTCCTGCACCATACTGCAGAAAATATCTCAGTTGCAGTAGAACAACATTCTTAATAGTTTACTACTTATGTAAATCTCTTTGCTTAATTCATCTCTACTGTGACTGTTAGGATCAATTGAATTGCTTCTTCGATCTTCGGAACTGAATATCTGTTCAAGTAATTTCTTGGAGCTATAAATAATTTGGTAGTATTGTCTTTGAAGGACTAATTTATCTATTCTGGGCTTAAATCTCTTACCATAAATTGCCCATGTGGCTTTCTGTCGCTCCTCTGTCATCAGCCGAGTTCCTGCATCGAGAGACAGTGATCATCATTATTTTGCCACACAATTTGTGATGACATATATAGGCAAATTAAATGTTTTGATAAATCATTAAACAGGTTGGAAACCTGTGCTAATGGGATCTGGTAAGCAATCAAGCATGCACCGAAACGACGAGATAGTTCTCATATCATCTAGAAATCCTTGAATTATGACATCTAGAACTATACATGTAATGAACAATGTGGAAGGGATATGAATGTTACCTAGATAGAAAGTCTTGGCATATTCGGCGCAAATGTTTCTGCACCTTTCGTAGGCTTCTTCAAGAAACGCTGGATGGAACTCCGGCTTTCTACAGATATCTTGCTTGCTTAAGCTGTTAGCCTGAGACTGCCTCTCAACAATTTCATTTACTTGAAGATCAGTATGAGGAATTCCATGTTTTAATAGACGAGGAAAAGCACGTTGGCTTGATCTCTTAGGAGCTGCGATCACTTCAGCTCTTGCTCTTGTAACCAAGGATTTTGAGTGCAAGAACTTGCCATTATCTGGCCCAGTGCAAGGCCTAGCCGAAAGTGAAAATGAAGAACACATCCGGAAACGTTTAACGATTCTTCTCGGGTACGAAAAAGCTCTCTAGAAGAATGATAAAATGGCTTGAAAGGATCTAGAACTTCCTTCAAAACATCAGAAAACGTTACCTAATAACTTGATCATGATATTGCAATATCGAACAGCTAAAACATTTATACTCTCTAGCAATGAGCTGTCTCTCTACCTTAATTCCTCTCCTTCTCAATCTCTTTATCAAAAGGAAATTGATGATAGCATCATGCAAATTGCCAACTAGCTAGTTTCAGCTGACTAGATTTTTCAAGCAAAAAATGGGGGATTATTGAAATGGCCTGCTCTTATCAAGGACAGCTAGCAGTTTGCTCTACAAAATCATGACAACTTGTAGTTTTTTTTTAAATTTTTCAGTAAAGACACGAGTCCCTAATGTGGTGTTTAGAGAATATTGGGTGTTACGAAGATGCTAGATTTTGTCCAATACCAATCTATCCAAAACATTGTTTGAGACTTTGCAACAAGAATCTAGATCACCTTGATGCCTCCCTACACCCTTCGATTCTATTTATGTCCTGAAGTGATTATGCAGGAAGTTTTACAGTATAGAAGTAAAATAAAACCCTCCCCCGTGAATGAACTTATCAAATGATAAGGTCATGTTGACGTCCTCTTCCAACTATGGAGGCCATGATGTGTCAGCTGGACTAGTTCTATGTAGTGCTTCCTTTGGAACATCTCAACATCAGGATTCGGTCCATCTACAAGGCTGAAAGTTCCTGTTTGTAGCTGCTTCTTGGCAGTTTGGCTGTCCATTGGTGTGATGCATCCTATGTAAGTTGAGACTTGAGACCATCTTTGCATTGGCTCAACCGAACCAGCACAGTGAAGTGCTGAGAAAGTTCACTAAATCCATTGGGATCTAACCATACTTGCCAAAACTAGAAAGGAAATTTGATAGGTAAAAGTCAATGTGAAAGACAAAGTGTGATCTGAAAAAAGAACATCTTGGAGACCGGAAAAAACAATGCCAAACGGCTTTGATTGGTTGTTCCAAAGTATTAATGAGCCAAAAGAAAAAAAATCATTGATTGCACCAATGATACTAAACTAGGAATTGTAGGTCTGCATATATGTGTCATTTTCACCTCAGTTACTTAATTTTCTCTGATAATATAAATGGTCAGTGAAAGATAATTTGCTCCAAACCTAAAATAATATAAAACTAGTTAGATGATGACGTTATGACGTAAGCTCACTTTTAACTTTCAAAAAATATTAGAAGCAGAATTTAAATTTATTTGGGTGCTGCCAGATTAATTAGGATCCAGGGTTATTTGGATTTTGTCCATCATAATCCTAGTCTAGCCGTCTAGCCTTGAGTTAAACCGTATAGAACCCAAAATTATTTAGGTCGTGTATGTGTATATAACATGACTCAAGTTTATTTTTGAATTCTATAATTAATAATTTATATGTAATTTGTAAATAAAATAAATGTAAAACTAAGTGTTTTGATAAAATTATTATTACAATATATTTGGTAAAATTAGTAAATAATATAGCATTTTCTTTCAAATTCATCAATTATTTTATTAATAATATTAATTACAATAAAGTATACTCTTATAAATTTTACTGAAAATAGTAATATTTATAATACAAATCATGATATTCTTAGTATTAATATTATTAATTATTATAAAAATTAATTAAAAAATATAATAATAATTTTAATATTAATTATACCAAAAAAATAATATTAAGAGAACAAATAATAATAGTTTTGAGATCAACACTATTAATTAG